ACATACAAACATTCAGTCACACAGTGGCACTCAGCATACATACAAACATTCAGTCACACAGTGGCACTCAGCATACATACAAACATTCAGTCACACAGCAGCACTCAGCATACATACAAACATTCAGTCACACAGTGGCACTCAGCATACATACAAACATTCAGTCACACAGCAGCACTCAGCATACACACAAACATTCAGTCACACAGCAGCACTCAGCATACACACAAACATTCAGTCACGCAGCAGCACTCAGCATACACACAAACATTCAGTCACACAGTGGCACTCAGCATACACACAAACATTCAGTCACACAGCAGCACTCAGCATACACACAAACATTCAGTCACACAGCAGCACTCAGCATACATACATACACACAAACATTCAGTCACGCAGCAGCACTCAGCATACACACAAACATTCAGTCACACAGCAGCACTCAGCATACACACAAACATTCAGTCACACAGCAGCACTCAGCATACACACATACATTCAGTCACACAGCAGCATTCAGCTTTCACACAAACATTCAGTCATACAGCAGCACTCAGCATACACACAAACATTCAGTCACACAGCAGCACTCAGCATACACACAAACATTCAGTCACACAGCAGCACTCAGCATACACACAAACATTCAGTCACACAGCAGCACTCAGCATACACACAAACATTCAGTCACACAGCAGCACTCAGCATACACACAAACATTCAGTCACACAGCAGCACTCAGCATACATACATACACACAAACATTCAGTCACGCAGCAGCACTCAGCATACACACAAACATTCAGTCACACAGCAGCACTCAGCATACACACAAACATTCAGTCACGCAGCAGCACTCAGCATACACACAAACATTCAGTCACACAGCAGCACTCAGCATACACACAAACATTCAGTCACGCAGCAGCACTCAGCATACACACAAACATTCAGTCACAGAGCAGCACTCAGCATACACACAAACATTCAGTCACACAGCAGCACTCAGCATACACACAAACATTCAGTCACGCAGCAGCACTCAGCATACACACAAACATTCAGTCACACAGCAGCACTCAGCATACACACAAACATTCAGTCACACAGCAGCACTCAGCATACACACAAACATTCAGTCACACAGCAGCACTCAGCATACACACAAACATTCAGTCACACAGCAGCACTCAGCATACACACAAACATTCAGTCACACAGCAGCACTCAGCATACACACAAACATTCAGTCACACAGCAGCACTCAGCATACACACAAACATTCAGTCACACAGTAGCACTCAGCATACACACAAACATTCAGTCACACAGCAGCACTCAGCATACACACAAACATTCAGTCACACAGCAGCACTCAGCATACACACAAACATTCAGTCACACAGCAGCACTCAGCTTACACACAAACATTCAGTCACACAGCAGCACTCAGCATACACACAAACATTCAGTCACAGAGCAGCACTCAGCATACACACAAACATTCACTCACAGAGCAGCACTCAGCATACACACAAACATTCACTCACAGAGCAGCACTCAGCATACACACAAACATTCAGTCACGCAGCAGCACTCAGCATACACACAAACATTCAGTCACAGAGCAGCACTCAGCATACACACAAACATTCAGTCACACAGTAGCACTCAGCATACACACAAACATTCAGTCACAGAGCAGCACTCAGCATACACACAAACATTCAGTCACAGAGCAGCACTCAGCATACACACAAACATTCAGTCACACAGTAGCACTCAGCATACACACAAACATTCAGTCACAGAGCAGCACTCAGCATACACACAAACATTCAGTCACACAGTAGCACTCAGCATACACACAAACATTCAGTCACAGAGCAGCACTCAGCATACACACAAACATTCAGTCACACAGTAGCACTCAGCATACATACAAACATTCAGTCACACAGCAGCACTCAGCATACACACAAACATTCAGTCACACAGCTGCACTCAGCATACATACAAACATTCAGTCACACAGCAGCGCACTCAGCATACACACATACATTCAGTCACACAGTGGCACTCAGCATACACACAAACATTCAGTCACACAGTGGCACTCAGCATACACACAAACATTCAGTCACGCAGCAGCACTCAGCATACACACAATCATTCAGTCACGCAGCGGCAGCAGCAGCCCCCACACCGTCGCGTACTTGCGTGCCCGCGGTTTCATACATCTCTCGCTGTCAAGTTGTTGTGTTGCTCTGTCCCGAAGGAGGCGGCTTGTGTCGTGATGTATAGTGAGTTGAGTCTATACCCATTATAGACTTCATTACCATTGCTATGGCCAGATGGTGCAATGGTTAAAATATATGGCTCGCTGTGAGACTCACAATCAGACGGTGGCTAGGAGATGTTAACTACCTCGCTTGGGCTTCAGCAGGTTGTGGGTTCGATCCCGACCCTGACACCTGCTGTATATTTAGAGTTTGCGGTGTCTACCAATGGTCACGTGGATTTTTTTCCGGGTCCTCCGATTTTTACCTTTACATTTAGAAGCAAACATGCGTTTTAGAGTTATTTGGCTGCTATAAATGCCCACGTGATGAGCCACTTTGTTGAGCCATCGCTTGTGGCTCGATCGCTTCTTACCTGGACAAATAAACAGAGTTTAGTTTAGTTTGTTGGAATACTGATCGTGGCCAACGTGGTCTCCCACTTCTCCAGAGTCAGTGATATGAGTAAACATTCGTAAGGCACCAACAGTGGACGATGTCACTAGATTGCCCTGTCCCCTGCCACAGTAAGATGGAATTCCCGTTACATTGGCAGAAGCATAAGCAGGGGGATAAATGCAGGAAACCATTTTTTATTTGGTTTGTTGTTAGGTTATAAGGTAGATGATGATGCCTTGCATGATGTTATTCATGGATTTATGAAAGTCGATTGTTGACCCAAATGGTGCTTGCATGAAGAAACCTTGTACCCATATTACACCGCGAGTTGGAAGATCTCAATTGCTAGGACGTCCAGGAGGTTGTCAACAATCGGCGTTTCTTTTCAGTTGTTAAACTACGCGCACACATTACGGTGACGATCTGCTGGTTTTACGTTCATGCACCGATGGATAAATATGTACACGTTCGATGAAGATGGCCATTGTGAAAGACAGAATACACATTGCAGACCGAACGGCACAAGGACGTACGGAACTAACATGGGAGTGCACAGACAGCATAAAAACACAGTACCTAACTAACGTACAGACCAAAAATTTTATTTTAAAAATCTAAAAGCACTAGTTAAACATGTCCTTCCCCCGCACCTTCGATTAGCACGGTTGGCTACATATGGTGCGAAAGAGGTTCAACATACATACATACAGCAGGGGAAGAGCAAGGAATACTGTTGGCCCAGGTACAGTGGGAGAAATATAAAGAAATAAACTATACCATTTTTAAAATTTTACCACGTAAGGCCCACTGAGTTCTATAGCTCTTTTTGAGAAGTGACCTGGCCACACATTATTGTTGTTTACCGAAGTGGCTTATCACGTGGACATTTAAAGCCGCTAAATACTCTAAACGCATCTTCATTCATAATGTGAAAGGAGAAACTGGAGGACCCAGAAAAAAATCCACATTTCCACGGAGAGAACATGCAAACTGCAAATACACAGCAGGGATCAGGGAAGGGATCGAACCCCCGACCTCCTGTATACCAGGCGAGGTTGTTAACATCTCAGCCACCGCGGCACCCAAATTATATTTTTATTGTAAATATTTTACAATTGAAATGTTTTAATCACTCAATTATTTCTGCTGCCAAATTCAAACGGGAATTACTTCCTTTTGTGTCGTTTCATTAAATAAATATTTGGAACGAAATGTAAAAAAAAAAATTCTTATTGTCTGCTAAGGGCGGTGGGAGCCGCTGGGGGGTGGGGGCGTGGGCGGGCAGTCGGGCGGGTGGGGGGCGGGTAATTGTAATTATGATGCAAAGAGTGAAATCGCTTTACTGCGATGCAAGATTTGACCCAGGGGGTTAGAATCGTTTCTGGCGCTGACTTTCTGACGCCCGTGGCAAAGTGACACGTCGGTGGCGGCGGAGGCGGCACACGGTGGCTCGTGTCATTCGACGGCACGTCGTGTTTCTATCTCAAGCCGTCCGATGGCACGTAGCACTGTAATTATGTAAATGTGGAGCCATACCCTGTCTAGAATTGCTGTGTGCACGTTGGTTCAGACAAAGTATTTGATTTCATCCCAGAATGAATGTTTTGGCTTCCAGGCAAATTCTTCTAATGCACATTCCCACTGCGTTGATGTTGAATAGCCGGCACATTTTAAAGCTTCAGACATGAAGGTACTGTGCTATGCTTTCAGGCGGGTTTTGTGAGTTCTCAGTTATGATAGAAGTTCGCGTATTTGTAAGCAAAATTGCCAATTAGACTTTAGTTTAAAGATGTCGTCTAGATAGCATACGTCATGGTGTAGTTGTTTCTGGCCTCGTGTCGTTACAATGTGTTTATCTGATGAATTTGATTGCCAAATAATCTCATTTAAAGACGAGTTGAGTGTTTGCCTAATTGTGTTGTAAGGAAACATGAAATAACCATCAGTTGACATGTGGAATGACATTCATAGTCGACGGCTTCAAATGAATGTATTATTTTTAGTCAACAATCCTTAAATGTCCAAGTGTTTATGGTGCTTTTTTTTTCTCTCTTTGCCTAAATTAATTGCGCACGCAACGGGGCCGTGCGTATCGCGCAATCTGACGTCAGGGCGACGTTCGCCGGGCGAACGTCAGTTGGGGTCGTTGTCTTGTCGACCTCGCAGCAGCAGTCAGTCAGCTGCTGAAAGTCCTCGCGGAGCGGTTTCATCGGCGTGGGTAGGGGGTGAGTGGGGGGCGGGATTAATGTGAGCAGCCTTTGGATAAAATTAAGAGATGTATTGCTTCAAGTGACCGCATTTTATCTTCACCCTGCGCAGTGGGAGGAGGGGGACTTCATCATTTCCGACAACCTGGCGCTGGGCCACGAGGCCCACCCCTCCACGCAGGCCCCGCCCGGCACCGTGGGGCTCCGTGTCATGCACCGCACCACCGTGTGCGGCACCTCGACCCCCAGCAAACGGCGCCGCGGGGCCACCGCCGACGCGGCCAGCGGATGAGCGGTTAAGCGCGCGCGCGTGTGGATCAGCGCGTTCGTGTGTGGATCAACGGACAGCCGTGAGAATCGGCACGCGTGTGCGTCCGCACGAATGCACGTGTGAGCGTTCGTGGGTGGGTGTTCGTTCACGCACGCGTGTGCGTTTATTTGCAAGCACACATACCTACGCGCTCGCACGCACACACGCATGGAGTAAACGATGGGATCCCTTGTTTGGTCATGTGGACCACATGGGCAAGTAGTGTTGGCGAGCACCTATTAAGGCTGGCTCGGCGCACGAGGGTAATATTGTCTTGGCCTAGAGCTAAGAGTCCAAAATCGGTACAGAGTCCTTTCCTTTACCCAGGGATTGCATTTATCCACTGCATCAGGTCCTCATCGCAGTGAACCTGGGGAAAGTCCCAGAGATTTAATTCACAATCATTTACAGCTGCGTCAGTCCGTTATTGGATTAATGACGTTAAGTCTAGGACAGGAATCAAACTCGGATCAGTGGGCTCATATTGCAGTGTGCGATCCACCTACGCCACCTACAAGATTTATGTATAAGACAAAAGAGAATTGGCCGAATATTTTAAATCAGGCTTTGATGGGCGAAGATATTATGTTGCATAATAAAGCCTACATGTTAAACGAACATATTGCATTATTTTATGCACAGGCACGCATATTATCCTGCATTCCTTGTACACATGCATTTTAACGCTTCTGAATCTCCACTCAAAAAAACACTTAACCTCAATTCCAATAATCGTAGGTGCTAATAGTAAATTAATTTGTAACATCTTGCACCATGGATTTCATAAGTGGGCTGTCAAGAGGATGGCCACAAGCTTTTCCCGGTGGCCAAATAAGGGCCCAATGCCGTGTCCGTTGGTTGCGGAGGACAAGAAAAGTGTGTTGATAATTAATTAAACAGTTACACACGAGGCTGAATGAATGGACGTTCAAAGTGTCGAAAAAACCGTCGTAAAAGATATATTTTATCCCAGCTTTATTTTTAAGACGAAAGGAATAAAACACACACATGGACACGGGGGAATGTGCACATTGGCTGTTGAAAGTGTTTTATTATGAACCAGCTTATCGCTTCTTTCAAGTCATTTTGAAATAACCGGTGCTGTGCACACTCACTCCCTGCGGGTCAGCCTTCACGGTAAACTTCATATAAAAACATGAGATTATTTCATAGATATCTGTATTTTCATCTTCTCGTTATAATATTATTTTCGGGGCCAGATTTGAATGCTGCATTCGGATCATAATCGACCTCGTGGGGCTGTACTAAATGCAATAAATATTTGTTTAGCCATAAACAATTCCTTAAACCTTAACAGGTGTGTATTTGCATGGGGGAAGGGGGGGGGGCTGACGAGGCCGTGATGAATGCCCAGGGCTTGCCCGCCTCCTCATCCTAAATGATCTGTGTTTCAAGGAAACTGCCAATTCAATGTTGTGTTCTGGCATGTCAGAGTTAGAGACCGCACGCCCGAGTAGCTGGCCGAACGGCGCCCACACTGACGTGGAGGGGGTACGTTGCGCCTTGGGTTACTGGAGGGGGAACACGATACAATATAAAATATGTATGTGCCGTAGGATTCTCAAGTGACTTCCGACACTGACATGTATCCGAAGCAATTTGGACGGCATTACACAAGATTGTAATTGGTATACTGCCTGTACGATAGATGCATTGAACTGTGGAGTATTGTGTGTGTGGGGGGGGGGGGCAGTTTTTTGTCTCGCTTATTTTGGATTGTTGCATTGTTGTAGAGAGCGCGAGGGGCTGGTGGTTATCTGGAAAAGCCTTCATCCACGAGTGGGATAGGGCCCCCTGGCTGGTAATAAAAGGTTATACGAGTGCAGTTATGAGATGTGGTTGTGGTCGTACGTGGCTTCCGAGGTGCAGTTGCATCGAACGCATTCGCCGTGGTGACAGCCTGACGATAATAACAACATTGACGGTCAGGATTGTAAAAAGAAATAATATACGTTTATTTGAAATGTGATAGCGTTGTGTGCAATGATCATAATTCATTATAATGGGATAGCGAGAGTATATAGCGAAATGCATCACGTATATTTCTGTTTTATCTTTGCAGTTAATTTCCACATTAATGAAATACGGTTTGCGGGACCAGTCAAACATATTTTTGTTGTTAAGAGCGCTGGTGCGTTGGACAGATTTTTTGGGCCGATTCATCCTCGGTCTTCTGTGCAGTTGTGATGGAAAGTGCAGATAATGAGGCACGTGTCCACACTTCCCAGCAGTGATTCCACGTTTCTCTCTCCCTGCCCTTTGTTTTAAACCGTGAAATTGCCTTGGGGTGGAAAATGGGGGTGCGGGGAGTCAAACATCAATGGCGTGTTGATGATCTATGTGCAGTACGTGCTTTTCGTAAACACACAATAGGGGATTGCAATTTTACGAAAAGTTTTTTTTATATATATATACGTAAATGTGTCTCGCGTAGCTTGCATCTTTGTTTTTGCATGGGCAAAATTGAAATGCGCTGAGTGTCGCCCAGCCTCCTGGTCGGAGCGCAACTCGTGTCGTCATTGCACGATGTCCGTCCGTCTAGTGAAATAAGCCATGAACTCGGATATGTTAAAAATTAAAACATCACACAATCCCTGAGGGACGAAGGTGGGACAAGCGAAGGGGGGTGATGGGGTTAGGCAATTGTGGATTGTGGAGCCACAGTGTGGGTTTCGCGAGACAAAACATGTTGACATTTACGCGATCTAACCCAGGTTTTTTTTTATTCTGGATAATATTTCTGGCGAAAGCCGGCTACGCGTTAAACTAAACATGAAACTTGCTTGATTAGACAATTACGCGCGATTCAATTCCGGGACGTGGGGTTCCAGCCAGGTCTCCCGCGGCAACAACGAGAGATTAATGAGGCCTCTTCTGTGCGTTCACTTTGTTAATTAAACATAGACGTTGCATTCAATCGGTCTCATTTTGCAGCCAAAATCAAGGCTACATGCGCAGGTCAATATAATAATTCCCGTTTTACATGCACGCTCGTACATGTCGACATGTGCACACAAACTCGTGCCGGGCTCCCAGTTCACACTCTTCTCGGGTACCTGCTGTTGAATAAAATGCAATGTTTTGGAAATTGCTCCCACCGATTAAAATGTCATTCTAAGCACGTGGCAACCCGCTGCTAGATGACTGCCTCCTCCCCTATGCCTTCGGGGGTTATTTGACCATACTTCGCCACTCTGGTCAGTGCGAGGTTCGTGAACGCTCTACAAAGCAACGCATTCTTTTAACACAACACCAGCAGTACATTGGCGCGCACACACACACACGCAGCTCATTAACATTCTTTAATTACATGTATTTACGACACAGTAAATGAGAGTGGATATAATTTATTTGTACATGTACACTCAATTTACATGTTCATACTTGTAATTGCAAACGCAGTGATGCACGACCAGCACAAATATCCAATCGGCCGACGGAAATGATGCAAATGCCCCAACAGCCTTGAAATGCGATCGGAACCATAACTGGCAAGTGCCGCGTTACATTGTCAACTCGGAGAGTGCGTTTGTTGACGGCGTCGTCGTCGAGAATGCTTGCATTGCAATTCCCCAACAACATAGCACTTATTAGTAGTGATACATCACAATGAGCACTTGTTGTTGGGGATGCGCCACGCAGCCAGAGAGGAGTTGAGGGCGATTCGCCGTCGCCGCGTTCAGGAATTCGAGCCGTCCGTCTCGCGTTTAAAGACATCATCGGTGCTAAGAGAGGTTGCATGCGTGGGAGGTGTGCGTGTGGGTGTGGGGGGGCTCCCTCCCATGAGTTTTGTTGGGATTGTTATAGAGTTCCTCCGTAGAATTATTGTGGCTGCCGTCGAAAGATGAAATCCCATCAATTGCCGTATCACATTGTACACAGCACTGTGCGAGTCTTATCGTGACTCGGTTATAAAACTGCCCTCCGTCAGTTGATTTTTCGTGTGCCAAACAACAAAAACTGAACGTGATGGAATGCAAAGCGGCTAATGAATGCCCTTATACATATTTTTTCCAGACTTTAGCAACTTTGTGTTGCTGCGGACAACAAAATTCACCACCGTGATTAACACTGCCACCGGAAGCGCTATTCCTGAACTACATTTTACATGACAAATGTATTGTTAAAGTTGAGTTATAGGAGTTATTTTGAGTCCGTGCGTGCTAAGTGATAGAATTAGGTGAACGCCGACTCGAAAGAGTTGGCTGAACAAAGAGGGCGGAGGGAATGCCATGAATGGCGGGGTGGTAATTGCGATCAGTCACGATGAGGCCTCTACACATATAGCGAGAGAGAGAGATTCGCGGTTGGTCGCCCCTTAATACGCCGTAATCCCCTCATTTCCGCGCGGGTAGTTAAAGACATCACGGGTGTGTATAGAGTCATTACTCATCAGAGGCTGTTACGGACTCCTTCCTCGCTGCCTCGCCGATCTCACGTCTCGCACACATCTCCGCCTCGTGCAACAGTCCCGTTGTTGGTACTAATCACAGCGAGACGAGGAAGGGCTCCACTGTGCGTTAGACAAGCATCCATTTACGTAATTGCTGCGTAAAGGCTGCGTAGCCATTTTATTTACGGCCACGTGAGGTCGCATGATATCCAGTCACATTTTGTCCTTCGGATTAATGTCATTCAGCTGTTTGAATTCAAGAAAGTCGAGTTGAATACAGTACGTGCCTACACACACACTCGTCAATGGACATAAACATTTAATGAACGTTCGTTTCGCTGCGATATCATTAACTCGTGACCACGTGGCGTGCCGTGCGGGAGACCGATTCGAGATGAGCGTTTCGCTTGAGACGATTCATAGTTGCGGAATCCGTTCTTTGAAACGGAGGAACGAACAAAGAAAGGGACATCGCACAAAGACACGGAAGAAAACAGAGAGAAGCGGGACATGAAATGCCCGCGCGGTCTAAAAGAATGCGAGAAACGTCTGCGCCGAAAAACGCGACCCGTGAAAAAAGGGAATTTCGACAAAAAGGGAAGAACCATCTTCTTGGTTCTTTCGGTAAAGTCACGTAGAAGGGAAGTAATAAAATAATAAAAATAAAACAATAAAATAAAATAATAATATATTAAAAAATGATAAAATAATATAATATAATTATTTTTATTATTTTATTACTTCCCTTCTACGTGACTTTACCGAAAGAACCAAGAAGATGAATCCCTGCAGTCACGAAAGCTTTAAATCGAAAAAAGGGAAGAACCAATTTGGGTTTTTTTAAACTTCAGAATTCTCCCTTACCTCGATCTCCCCCATCATCATCATTATCCTCATCATCATCAAAGACTTCGGGGACCCCCCCCCCCCACCACGTTGCCAACTGATGCGACGGATTTCCTCTACCGCTGATGCCCAAACAGGTAAGCACTTACTGCGGCTCATAATTCTAACAGCAAGTACTGCCATCTGGGTAGCAGTGGCGAGGACTCGTGGCGACGGGGGTGGGGGGAGGAAGCTTCCGCGAATGTTTCATCGAGAGAAGAGGGGGGGGGGTAACAACAACAATGGCATTTAAAGTTAAAGTTTTACTCTCCTTTTACAAAGCCAGGATCTCACCATTCACCGCTGGCAACAGCAGCAGCAGCAGCAGCAGCGGGCACAAAGGCGGGGTTAGTTTTGGGACCTCTTTGTGCTCAAAGCTTAAACGCCTTGGTGGCACGCACAATGAGGGCCCATATCCCGAAATGGCCCATTGTTAATTATTCACGTCAACGCCCGTGGGGGCGGGGGGCGAATCAGCCGGAATGCGCCACATCTCGGAAGCTAAGCAGGGATTTTTGGGGGGTTTTAGCCTGCGGGCGGTGACCACCGCGGAAAACAAAACACCGCTTGTTACGTCGGCTGCTGCTGCCGCGATGATGAAGCTCAATTGGTAAAGTCGCTCGAACAAAATGAACCGTGCACGTCCGGAGATATTTCTCATCGCGAAGAAAGTGTACGATAGTTAAAGCGTGGTGCGCGATTGTTTATCGACGATTTATAAATCCCCACCACGCACGCCTTCGGGTGCCCAAGGTCCTCGATCTCTTACTTAGTCGGCGGCTCGCGACGTGCCACTACTGCGCCACTAACACGCGCCCCCTCCATATCGCCGGCGGGTGGGATGGATGGAATCTTTCCCCCACCGCTCCCCTTCTGTGAGTTACTGCCACAGATTGTTACAGACAGCAACCCGCGGTGATAAAACTGAAATCCTGGCCCGAGTCGCGGTGACACGCGCCCGCTGACAGCTGATGCTTGGAAGGAGCACAATCTGGTTTCCTTTGGCGCCGGGGGTCATTACCGATGTACATCTGCAAAGACTTATCGTGTGCGATTATCTGAAAACGTACACACGGAGCGATCTATTCGTAGACGGCCCACTAAAAAACAAAACTCGGGGGAACGGGAATGTGGAGTTGTGTGCCGCGCGCAATCCGAAGATGGTGTTGTTCTGAGTGCCGCGCCAGTTTGTGGACTGCGCTGTTGTGAATCGTCAATTTGCTCTCTGAATCGCGCTTGGCGGAGCGTGATATTGTCTATCAATCACGTGCTTTTTTTTATATCGTACGATGTAAAAAAAAGCTGAAGTAATGTATGACAGGCATAATTTAATTCCACTTTGGTTATGCCAAGAGCCGCCGATTTAAAATGCACACACGGAGCAAGCAGTGGCTGCAGCATCGGGCCCATCTTTTCAAATGTTGGGTGATTGTTTTTGACACTGCGGAAAATGCACGAAAGCGGTTGCTTATGATACGGTTTGACCAGAATGAATAACAACGAAAAAAACCCCACTGGCGATAACAACAATAAACAACATCTCGCGTCATACTCAAGGTGGCATCGGCCCTCACGATGAAGAATACCTCGATAAGTATCCGACATTACTTGGGGTGGGGGAGAGGGGGGTAACTTTGTGTTCCGAGTGCTTGATTTCAAGACACTGATCAACCACCAAAGATAGAGATGTGACTTTTGAAAAAGGCGTTTAAATCCCAAGCCCGGTGGTACATTTTTTAATTCACAGCCCACCGCCGCCACCCTCCCTTGTCAATTCGCATCTGGGTGGAGGCCCCCTCCCCATTGACTCCGCTCACTGCTGCTGTGAACCCGGCCCCACTCGAGTTCGATTCCCCCCCTCCCCGCCCCTGCCACGGCTGGTATCGTGGAAATCAAAATGTAACTATTTTTGACTCCCGCATTTTGGGAAGATGTATTAGAAACATAAAGCAATCTATTAAATTTTAAGAACGTTTTCAAGCGAAAACGCTATTCTTATTGTAACAAACTGTTGGGGAAAGTGCGATTAGCGAGCGCCTAATGAAGGGCCAGCACGGCACACGAGCGGATTGGTGGCATGTTTACACACCTTGCCAGCTCCTCATTAATAAGGCTGAGTGGGCCTAGGAGAGGCCTGGTTAGCCGTGTCGTGTGTCGGAGCGGCGCTAACCACTTGCGCCACCGCTCCCCACGCACAATGCACGTATACATCATAACAACAACATGGTTTACTCTCGCGATGTTGAGATATTTGTTGTTGATTACTTCCCGATTCTTGCGTTCATTAACGAGAAGCACTTTGCGTACCGCGTGCCAGAGCGCACACGTGTAAGTTAAGCATGTGCTTACACCTCCTTAAGGCTACCGCCGCATGTATATATATTTATATTAACGTATACGAAAGTAAAGCTTTAAATGGAAACAATCGCGGATGAAAATGATGCCGGGAGACGTGGCCGAAGGAGCCAATGCACGCGCACAAGGAGAGGTCACGGCGTGATTCAACCACGCGAAGAGAGACTAAAAGTACGGGGGGGGGGGGGGGGTACGGCAGTTCAATAATGACACGCCACGGTTAATAAAATAAAATCATTAAATAAAATATACAAACCCACACAACACGTTTGCAACCACACACAGCGCCATCCCCATGTACGCGCTCTGCCCACAGGCACGGGAGTGAATGCGATTGGGGGGGGGGGGGTACCCTGACCCCCCGGCGTGTTTTAACTATTTTTTTTTATGTTGCGAGATTTCAAGCTTTGTCAACAGCACGCACCACCACAACCACCGCTGTCTGTAACGAAATCGTCAAATCTCTTTTTTTGGGGGGGGGGGGGGGAATGGAGCCCCGCAGCAAATGGCAGTGGCAAAATGCGGCGTGCGTTCAAAGTACACGGCCGGATCACGCGCC